TCTCAGGCACGGAAGGTAAGAACACCCACCAATTGCACGGACCATTCGTCAAGCATGTGTCATCCTGGGAGTTAGGACACTTACAAAAGATGCTCAGGATTCAAGTCTGCCTCAGGGACTCCAGGGCCTAATAGAAGAGACAGAAAACAGGAATGTTCACATGTGTGAATATAACTTTATCTGGAGGTGTTCAGACACTCCCCTGTGTGGCTGCCTCTTCAAGGCAGCCACACAGGGAGGAAGAAGCTTAGAGCCAGACCTTGAAGGCTGAAATACCTAACACAGGACAAGCGTCAGCTTGAGTGAAGGGGCAGATTGGGGTGTAGATACAGGTGTAAAGTGGCCTGCGTGGCTGAAGCAGGTGCATGGAGATCAGCTTAAAGCATCCCTCCCATCCAACCCTCAACTGATGCCCAGCTCCCCTCCACAGCATCTCACCCAGAGTGCCCAGACTCCCTTGAATGCCCCCCTGTGATGAGGAGACCACTCCTTCCTATAGCATGAAGCCCAGGCCATCTCTGATGTGCCCACAGATGTGTTCTTTCTAGCCAGCACAACTGTGTACAGGTAGATGTCCTTCAAGCACACCTGAGCTACACAGATCCAGCTGATCCTGCTGCTACCTGGGGAATAAGAGATGCCTAAATGCCCAAGACATCTGCTGTACCAGACAGGCCCCCAACCCTAGAGCCTTGAAACCCTGGCTCTGTGGGACACCCTTCCAGAGTATTGGCCAGCACAGGAAAGGGGCCCTTAGCATCTGGACTCCACCCTGCTTGGAAGAACCCTGAGGCTGGCATGTCCTCGCACACAGCAGGGAGACCTTCTAGATGGGGTGCCCCCCAGGTGGTCTTTCCTGAAGTCACTGAGCATGCGCGTGTCGTAAACACAGCCTGCTCGTCCTGGGCTGGAGCGACGCTGACATGCGGTCCACCTACAATGCCGTTTAACGCCCACTGCAGCCACGGGACCTCCCTCTACCATGTCTACCACTAGATAGGAGGACACCCAGGGCTCCCTCGTAATCCGGATCTGAGCTCAGCTCAGCGACCCTAGAGTTGAGTTCTGAGCACCCACACGAGATTCCTTCCCTCCTTCCCCCCACTGCCCACCTCCTCCACGCTTGCCTCAGTACTTTGCACACAAAGGGCACTCAGTAATTGCTTTAGAACATTTGAGTTAAGGGACTTTAATGATGGCTCAGCGGTTAAGAACCTGCCCGGCCATGCAGGAGATGGTCACACTCCATGCCACATGCCAGAAGCCCGCGTATGGCATGGGCCACAAGGAAAGATCCCACGTGAGGCAGCAAAGATCCTGCATGCTGCAACTAAGACCCCAAAGAAGTGAAATAATAAATAACTGTTAAAAAAAAAAAAACAAACACGGAGTTATGGGCCCAGAAGTTGCCACCAGGGGGCGATGCGTGCCGCGCCCAAGCCTCCACATTGGAGGGAGGTGAGATGATGAAGGCCAGGAGGGCGGCCCGAAGTGGACAGTGGCCTCTTCCTCCTTGGGAGCTCCAGGTGCCCACAGGACAAGATGGGGAAGCAAGCAGGACCCGTCAATTCCAGGCAGGCAGCATGAGGGGAACCCAGGGAAAGAGAAAGCCAAGAGAATGACCCAGAAGGGCTCTTGGAGACTCTCAGATCTGTCCTCTCCCTGTAGAGATGATGATCCCGGGCCCAGAGAGGGGCAGGTGTCAGCCTTAGGTCACACAGCAGGGTGGAGGCTTAAACCCTGCCCTCCAGCCCCCCAGAACCCTTCATCCCACTTAACCCCCAGATACAGAGAAGGAAGCTTAACTCAACGGATTCCTCCCCTTCCTCTAGTTGGTACAGACCAGAAATGGGTCCCTGAGACAGCCCCAGGCCCCAGCCCTCTGCTCCTCCTGTATCTCTTTCCCAAACACCCCCACCTCCAGCCCTAACTACCCAAGGACTCACAGTCCTGAAGCTCTCGCTCTGACCCACCTCCTCAGCCCTCCATCTCCTTGTTCTGCTCATCTGGCCATCATTCTGTCCCCCAAGTACCACTGCCAAGCCTTCAGGCTCAGCTGCTGTCCTCTTAGAATGAAAATCAGATAACGTCCTGTCCTTGCTTGAACCCCTGCCCAACAAAGTCTTCCTGCTGCACTTATGACACCGCCTCACCTGCTCACCCTGCAAGGCTCGGCCCTGCTGCCCCTGCCCCTGCCTCCCTGTCAGCCCCGGGAGGGCTCTAAGCTCAAACCTGCCGGACCCTCATCATGCTCCCTCTGAGCTCCTACTACAGTCTTCCCAGAGCAGCCTCACCCCCTCTAAGGCCGACATGTGCCTGCTAAGTCCTGGCACCCACCTGTCTCCCCAGAGCACCCACTCTCATTTGTAATTGACTGGACATTGGGGAAGGATTTGCTTGGGATCTGTCCTCCTGGCTGGACTGTGGCTCCTCAAGATCACAGGTCGAGTCCATGGAGTCCCATGGGTTCTCTGGCAAGTGGAGCCATGTGTGGTTCACGGTAGGTGCTCAAATTGTAGCTGTTGAGAGAATGGATGGATGGAGGTGATAGTTTACAATGAGCAGTCTCGGATTCGTGATCTCCAAAGGAGAGGATTTTGCTTCAGGACCAAAGACATGGCTTCAGTCACTCAGGGCTTTGCAAAAGTTTCATTACAGTGAAAAAGAGATAGAGAAAGCTTCTGACATAGACATCAGAAGGAGGCAGGCAGTGCCCCACTCACTAGTTGGGATGAGGCTTTATATACTTTATCAATTGGTTACTAACAATAGATTAAAAGAATGTTTCAAGGTTTTAAAAGTCTTACTAGACCCACTCCCATAACATACACTTTAGAATAACAGGATTAGCCAGAAGGTTCTTGTTAAAAAGGAGAAACATGTCCTTGAGCAAGATTATATAATCCTTAGTACAGAGCTTAAGGAAAAACGTACCCTTCAGCAAGATGAGTTGTTTTGTTGTGTAATCATTAGCTCTGGGCTTAAAGAAAGTTAGTATTAGGCAAAATAGATTGTTGCCATAACAACTCAGAGTTTAAGAAAAAAAGTCTTTTGTAACTAAGATGAAGGAATGTAGAAAGAAACATTTGTCCCTCTCCTCCTTGAGGGCCCCAGACTCCTTATCAACCTACCTAAGAACAGCTCTCTCAGAGGGATGGATGGATGAGGGATGTGGTGGTTGTTCAGCCGCTAAGTCATATCCAACTCTTTGCAACCCCATGGACTGCAACATACCAAGCTTCCCTGTCCTTCACTGTCTCCTGGAATTTGCTCAAATTCATGTCCATTGAGTCAGTGATGCTATCCAACCTTCTCATCCTCTGCTGCCCACTTCTCCTCCTGCCCTCAATCTTTCCCAGCATCATCAGGGTCCTTACCAATGAGTTAGCTCTTTGCACCAGGTGGCCAAAGTATTGGATCTTCAGCACCAGTCCTTCCAATGAATATTGAGGGTTGATTTTCCTTAGGATGACTGGTTTTTTGATCTCCTTGTGGTCCAAGGAACTCTCAAGGGTCTTCTTCTGAACCACAGTCTCAAAGCATCAATTCTTTGGCACTAAGCCTTCTTTATGGTCCAACTCTCACATCCATACATGAACACTGGTAAAACCATAGTTTTGACCATATGAACCTTTGTTGGCAAAGTGGTCTTTGCTTTTTAATACACTGTCTAGGTTTGTCATATCCTTTCTTCCAAGAACCAAGTGTCTTAATTTCATGGCTGCAGTCACTATCCACAGTGATTTTGGAACCCAAGAAAATAAAATCTGTCACTTCTTCCACTTTTTCCCCTTCTATTTACCATGAAATGATGGGACTGGATGCCATGATCTTAAATTTTTTGAACATTGAATTTAAAGTTAGCTTTTTCACTGGAGGATGGAGGGATAGATGGATGGACTGAGACAAGGATGAAGGATGAAATGAAGGAAGGTCTTGGCGGTTGAGAAAGGGTCTGTTCATCCATTTATTGATCTAACAGTGATTTACTGAGTACCTACTGCCAGCACATGCTGGGCACTGTGGGTGTTACAGAATGCATGGGACTTGAAATCTGTCTAACTCAAAGAAGCATCTCTTAGTATGTAAATATGGCAAATATGCAAATAATAACAACAAACGGAGTGTGTCAGTACAATAACCATTGGGTTAAATTTTCACAACAGTCCAAATAGCAAATGATAACAGTAAATACTATGTCTGATTCTAAATCTTTCAAGGTTTTATCTAAATAAAGTAGCAATGCAGGGGAAAAAATGATTTTTCAGACTATATAGGCAATTTTGTCTTTAGAAAATGTGGTCATAATAAGTATAAGATGCATAGAGTAGGCCAGTTCAAATAAAACATATGCAGAGAGAAGAAAAACAGATCCTTGCTTGACTGAGCCAAGAAGGGGAGACCTTCTAGATACCTTCTAAACCTTCTAGGTACGCCCTTAACCTTCCAAAATTCTAGACTTGTACTCATTTAATCAACAAATTTTTATTGAGTACCTACCATGTAGCTAGGTTCCTGGACTATAACAGTATAGAGCTTACAGTCTGGTGGGAGTGGGGGTCAGGGGAGACAATAGCAGTGGGTGGGCAGAGACAGTAAATGCAGTAGTTAAGTAAATTCCATAAGGAGGGCCTTTCCTGGTGGTTCAGAGGTAAAGAATCCACCTGCAAATTCAGGAGAAACAGGTTTGATCTCTGGTCCTATAAGATCCCATATGTCTCAGAGCAACTAAAAGAAATCAAAAGTTTGAGGTTTCAGGGTGGAGAGAGTGGAAAGAATCTCACTGGCCACACACTAACTCACAAGCCCACTGGTAAGTCCCACCCCCTCTCTGAGCCCCTCTGTCAAACACACCCACGTTACCACCCTGCAGGTCACATCCAGTGAGTTAATGATGGTCAAAGGGCGCCATACCCACACTCCAAGGCCGCCCCAGCAGCTGCCCCCAGTCTCTGCCCCCTGCCCAGGCTTCATTCCCCACCTCAGCTCCCCATCAGTACCTGCAGGGACCGTCCTGAAGGCCAGGGGCTGGCTCCAGTGGCTCCAAACCCCATGCCTGCCTAGCTGGGGCTTGGCCCGCACCTGAAGCTCATATTCCATGCCTGGAGCGAGATTCTCCAGGTAGATCCATCTCTGGTTCTGCCTGAGGGTCAGCAGTGGGGTGTCCTGGGGCAGAGATAGGGCTGTCAGACCAGAGGGGTCTGCACTCCCCCCTCACTTTCTGTGGCAGGGCTGGCTGAGCATATGAGCAGAGCAGTGCCTTCCTTTACCCCTCTAGCCATGCACCCTGCACTGTCCCCCACCTCTTACAGAAAGGCTCCCCAACTAACCACTTTGCAGGAGCCCCAAGAATCAGGGTCTTCCTGAACCCCTCCTCCTCACTCAACTCCAGTATCCAAAGCCATCTGTCAATCAGCTGGTTCCACCTCCAGAACCTATTCTGGACCCTCTCTCTTCCCTCCACTCCTTCCTCCTGCAGGTCTGAGCTCCCACGACCTCTGAGCCCCATCCAAGGTCTCCCTCCTTCCCTGAGCCCCATACGCCTGTGCTCTACGGCAGTCTCTTCTACACTCAGCCAGAAAGAGGGGCTTCCCATAGACCTCTCCCCGCTCGGCGTCACCCTTTTTGCTTTTTTTCCAGCACACCAGACACACAGGCTGTGTTTTGCCTTTGCAATGGTTTTTTCCTCTGCCTGGAAGACTCTCCCCAGATCCTCAAATAATCAGCTCCTACTTGAGCCCAGATCTCATGGTCACATGAGTCTGAAGGAGCCTGGCCCAGCCCTTCTCAACTGTGTTATCACAATGAAATTTCATGAGAGTATCTAAAAACATTGCAGAGTCTGCTCCTCTCCCCCATGTGAGTTTCCTCAGAGGCAGCTTGTCCGACTCTCCCTCCATTCTCTCCCCAGCATCCAGCACGTAGTAGGTACTCAGGGAATGTTTGTTGAATGAATGAACGAATAAAGGAATGAGTAAGTGAATGAGTGGTGGTTCTGCAGTAAATAATTTGCTGCATGCAGGAGACCTGGGTTGAATCCCTAGGTCAGGAAGATTGCTGGAGAAGGGAATGGCAACCCACTCCAGTATTCCTACCTTGAGAATCCTGTGGACAGAGGAGCCTAGCAGGCTATAGTCCCTGGGGTCACAAAGCATCGGACACGTCTGAGTGACTAACACACAGTGAATGAGTAAGTGATCAACCCCCATGGACGTGGACCACACTGGATTTGAGGAGGGAAGGGTGGCTACCCAAGGCCTCTGGAATCTTCAGAGAGGGAGTCACCTGCCTCTTGGCTTTGTAAATCTTGCCTTGAATACAATACCAACTGGACCCTTGGGGTGTCAGGGGACCCCAGAGAGAGGTGGTGGTGGGAGTGGGGGCAGTTCCAAGGAGCAGCAGGGGTTGATTAGGGGCTTCTGTGGCTTTGCTGAGATGAAGGATGGACAGAGTGACCAGGACAGGGAGGAGTCAGGGCAGGTGGGACGGAGCCAGGTACTCACCTCCCAGCTGTGGTCGGCGTACCTTAACCGGGCCTCGAACTCCATGTCATTTTGGATGTAGTGGGATACCTGGGAGATGGTCCAGGTTATGTTGCACCTATGCGTCTCTACGTGGGCGACTTGGAGTGAGTGGGGTGGAACCAAACGAACTGGAGACAGGAGAGAGACAAAGGCAGAGAGAACAAGCTTGGGGGATGCCACATGCTGATGCTGAGATGAGAAAGCCGAGCCGAGCTCCCACCTCCACCTTTGTACCTGCTGTTCCTCCCTCCCGATGTTCTCTTCTCCCAGGGATCAGCAGGTTCCTGCTCAAATATCACCCATTCAGAGAAGCCTGCTCCAAATACCCACCACTCTCTAGTGCTAGTAGGATTTCAAGAGTTTAAAGTTCAGGATGATAATATCTCCATGCCCTGAGGTTCTGTACATTTGGCCCTCAACCCCACACGCACCTCTTAGGCTGATGGCTGTGCAAGCAGCAGGTGGTGGCCTGCAGGCCCTCATCATGGCTCCAGATGCAGGAGACGTTGGCTCTTGAGTTGTAGAAGCATGTGATGTTGGAAGCAAATGCCGTGAAAATGTGGCTTGTGGGGCTGGCTGTAGGGCACCCATGGCCTTCAAGGGTTCTCCCACCACTCCTGTCTCTATCAGGTGAGGAGATGCTCAGTCCTTGTGGGCAGAGAAAGGTTTAGTGGGTCCACTTCAGAGAAGACAAAACTGAGTCCCACAGCCTGCAAAGATTCCCAGACTGGTCGAGGCAGTGCAAGGACAAGAAGACATTGTCTTCCTGGGATTTGGAGAGGCCTGTGGGTACAGTGTAGACAGGATGGTGGAGGGAGAAGGTAGATACCTGATCTCTGGTCCCACTGGCCCCCTCCCCCACCTCCTGCCCCTGCTGATGGAGCTTCTGCCAAGAATCAGGGGTCTCAGAACAAGTTCTAGAAGGGCCTCGGCCTCCCTCCTGAGGAAAGCCCAGCTCTCCAGATGCCAGGGTCCTCACCGTTCACTGATGTAGATGCCTGAGGGATGGCCAGGGGCAAGAGGAGGATGAGGAGGGACAGGCAGCAGGGCAGAGCCGGAGCCGCCATCACATCCACGGGTGGGGCCTGGGGAAGGGAGCCCTGGATGGAGGAAGAAGGGGAGAGAGTGTGAGTGACCACCCAGCCACCTCCTCCCCCACCCAAGAGACAGGCTGGGCTCTGTCCTCCTGAGGTGCGCCCATCGGCTCCCCGCCATGCCAGCCTCAGGGATTTTGCACCTGCTGGTTCTGAAACCATTTACTTCAGATTGGGACTCAAACCCATGTGACCAGGACTCGAGCCCAGTCAAAATCCACGGTACCTGTGTTTAGGACCTAATGAAGCTCAGGTTCTTGATGTCTCAAGAATGAGTGTAGGCCATCTCAGAAGGCGAGTGCAGACAGGAAGTGTGGTGTGGTTAGTTTTTATGGACTGGGTAATTTCATATGTAAATGAGTGGGAGGATTATTCCAACCATTTTTGGGAAGGAGTGGAGGTTTCCAGGAACTGGGCCACAGCCCACTCCTTGGTCTTTTGCCTCTGGGTGTGTCATTTAGCTTGCTGATTGAGAATCAGGTTCTCATCAAGTCCATTTATCTGCCATCTTGGACCCATTTGATTCTAATCAGCCTATGTTGTGTCCTTGGGCTATGTCAAAGTTGTGCCCTGCCCCTTTCCCTCCAGTTACAGTCCCTCTGCCCCACACCTGCTCTTTCCTTTCCTTTGGAGATTCAGGGCCCCATTTCATCATTGCTGAAAGGACTCTCTGAATGGCCCAATCCTTGTTGAAAAGTTGGGGAAAATAAGGCCCAGAAGGAGGGGAGACCTGCTTACATCCACATAGAGAGGCCAGCATATAGATGGAATTAGAGCTCACAAACACAGGTTAGATCCCTGGGTCAGGAAGATCCCCATGGAGAAGGAAATGGCAACCCAAATCAGTATTTTTGCCTGGAAAATTCCATGGACAGAGGAGCCTGGCAGGTTACAGTCCATTGGGTTGCAAGTAGTTGGCCACGGCTGAGTGACTGAACACAACCTCTCTACCTGGCTGCTCACTCACCCACACCAAAACTATTTGTCAAGATGCTTTGAAACCATTAACCTCAGGTTAGGACTTGAACCCACATGGCCAGGACTGGAACCCAGCCAAATCCCAGGTTGGGACTTGAACCCACAATCTTTTAATCAGAATCACTCACCTGATGTCTGGACTTACTGAGGCTCAGGTTATTTGTGTCTCATCACAGAAAGGATTCAGTGAGAGGCAAAGTGATAGGTATGAAGTGGATTTATTCAGACTCAGAGAGAAACACTCCACAGACAGGATATGGGCTGCTGTAGAGTGGCAGTGAAATGTGGCCTGGTTAGTTTTTATAGACTGGGTAATTTCATATGCTAATGAGAGGGAGGATTATTCCAACTAGTTTTGGGTAAGGGTGGAGATTTCCAGGAATTGGGCCACCACGCACTCCTTGCTCTTTTGACAGTGCCTTGGAACTGTCCGGGTCTCTTTTGTCATTAAGCTTGCTGATTGAGGATCAAGGTCTAATCAAAGTCCACTTGTCTGCTCTCTTGGACACATTTGATTCTAAATCAAATGTGCTTATGTTGCGTCCTTGGGCTCAGTCATTCTTTCAAAAGTTGTGCCCTGCCCCTTCCCCTCCTGTTACAGTTCCTCTATGCCAGGCTCTATTTCAAACCTTTAACCATGGCGATCAGGGTATCTACTGGAGATATACTCATTATTCCCATTTTCAGAAGAGAAATTGAGGGGCAGAGAGGTGAAGCAAATTACCCAAGATCACACAGCTGAAAAGAGGCAGCTGTGGAATCTGAGCCAAGGCACACTGCCTAGAGTCCAGTAAACTGTGCTGATCATCTTGTAACAAAACCTCATAGCAATTCTTGAGTAAGGATTTGGGTGGGGGAATGGGGACTAAGCCCTCACACTGTGCCAGGGTTTCACTTGCACCAGTTCATCTAATCTGCCAGCACCAGGGGCTGGGAGCATGTATGGTCTCATTACTCAGATGAGGAGACCAAGGTTTTAAGCCATGAGCCCACCCAAGGTCACAGAGGAAGCAGAGCTGGAATTCCACCCCAGGGCTGTGCCAAGAGGCCCGTTCCCTCCCATCATTCTGTCCCACCCAGACCCTGTCCCAGAAGTAAGGCCCACAGCTTCCCCTCCTAAGCTGCACTGGCCCACCAGAGTGCATCTGGCCTGAGTGTGGACCTGGGCCCAGAAAGGTACCTAGTTGCTCCTCCTTGCCCAGCCCAGTGTCTCCCTAGAGCAATGCTCCCTGACCAGGCTGGTTGTCTCTTTGGATCCTCCAATCCCCTATAGTACAGAGCATAGCCTCAGTACTTTGCACACAAAGTGTGCTCAATAATTGCTTTAAGGGCTTCCCTGGTTGGAGAAGACTCTTGGGAGTCCCTTGGACTGCAAAGAGATCCAACCAGTCAATCATAAAGGAAATCAATCCTGAATATTCATTGGAAGAACTGATGCTGAAGCTGGAAGCTCTAGTACTTTGGCCACCTGATGTGAAGAGCTGACTCATTAGAAAAGACCCTGATGCTGGGAAAGATTGAAAGCAGGAGGAGAAGGGGATGACAGAGGATGAGATGGCTGGATGACATTACCAACTCAGTGAACATGAGTTTGAGCAAGTTCCAGGAGATGGTGAAGGACGGGGAAGACTGATGTGCTGTAGTCCATGGGATTGCCAAGAGTTGAATTTGACTTAGCAACTGAACAACACTGAACAAGGCTGCAGAAAAACTAAGCCTGCATGCGGCAACTAGAGAGTCCAAGGGTCACAGGGAAAGATCTGGCATGACACAAGGAAGATCCCTCCTGCCTCAACTAAGATCCGGCATCCTGCAAATAATAAATTTTTAAAAACCCACGAATTATGAGCCCAGAAGTTGCCACTAGAGGGCGATGTGTGCCTCTTCCCAGCCTCCACACCAGAGTAGGAAGGTAAGATGAAAGCAAGGAGGGCGGCCCGAAGTGGACAGTGGCCTCTTCCTCCTTGGGAGCTCCAGGTGCCCACAGGACAAGATGGGGAAGCAAGCAGGACCCGTCAATTCCAGACAGGCAGCATGAGGGGAACCCAGGAAAGAGAAAGCCAAGAGAATGACCCACAAGGGCTCTTGGAGACTCTCAGATCTGTCCTCTCCCTGTAGAGATGATGAGCCCGGGCCCAGAGAGGGGCAGGTGTCAGCCTTAGGTCACACAGCAGGGTGGAGGCTTAAACCCTGCCCTCCAGCCCCCCAGAACCCTTCATCCCACTTAACCACCAGATACAGAGAAGGAAGCTTAACTCAACGGATTCCTCCCCTTCCTCTAGTTGGTACAGACCAGAAATGGGTTCCTGAGACAGCCCCAGGCCCCAGCCCTCTGCTCCTCCTGTATCTCTTTCCCAAACACCCCCACCTCCAACCCTAACTACCCAAGGACTCACAGTCCTGAAGCTCTCGCTCTGACCCACCTCCTCAGCCTTCCATCTCCCTTGTTCTGCTCATCTGGCCATCATTCTGTCCCCCAAGTACCACTGCCAAGCCTTCAGGCTCAGCTGCTGTCCTCTTAGAATGAAAATCAGATAACGTCCTGTCCTTGCTTGAACCCCTGCCCAACAAAGTCTTCCTGCTGCACTTATGATACCGCCTCACCTGCTCACCCTGCAAGGCTCGGCCCTGCTGCCCCTGCCCCTGCCTCCCTGTCAGCCCCGGGAGGGCTCTAAGCTCAAACCTGCCGGACCCTCATCATGCTCCCTCTGAGCTCCTACTACAGTCTTCCCAGACCAGCCTCACCCCCTCTAAGGCCGACATGTGCCTGCTAAGTCCTGGCACCCACCTGTCTCCCCAGAGCACCCACTCTCATTTGTAATTGACTGGACATTGGGGAAGGATTTGCTTGGGATCTGTCCTCCTGGCTGGACTGTGGCTCCTCAAGATCACAGGTCGAGTCCATGGAGTCCCATGGGTTCTCTGGCAAGTGGAGCCATGTGTGGTTCACGGTAGGTGCTCAAATTGTAGCTGTTGAGAGAATGGATGGATGGAGGGATTGATGGATGGAGGGAGGGATAGATGGATGGATGGAGGGAGAGATGAATGGAAAGAAGGATGGAGGATGGAAAGAAGGAAGGTCTTGGTACTGGATTGAGACAGTGTCTATTCATGCTTTCATCAATCTAATAAGGATTTACAGAATATCTACTGCCAGCACCATGCTGGGCACTGTGGGAGTTACAGGATGTGTGGGACTTGAAGTCTGTCTAAATCAAGGAAGCATCTTTTAGTATGGGAGTAGGAAAAGTGAAAGTGTTATTCTCTTAGTTGTGTCTGACTCTTTTGCAACACCATGGTCTGAATCCTACCAGGCTCCTCTGTCCATGGAATTCTCCAGGCAGGACTACTGTAGTGAATAGCCATTCATTTCTCCAGGGGATCTTCCTGACCCAGGAATTGAACCCAAATCTCCCACATTTCAGGCAGATTCTTTACCATCTGAGCCACCAGGGAAACCCATGGGAGTAGGACAAATATGTAAATAACTACTAAGGGAGTATGTCAGTACCATGTCCTTTGGGTTGAATTTTCAGGAACCGTATCAAATGAAAAGAGTAAATATACATGATTTGATTTTAAACCTTTCAAGTTTTTATCTAATAAAGTAATAAGACAGAGTAAGTCATTTTTCAGACACATTTTGTCTTTTGAAAATGTGGTCATAATGAGTCTAAAAGACATAGAGTAGGTCAGTTCAAATAAAACACATGCAGCGGGAAAAAAAGAAAGCAGATTCTTGATTGATAAGGTCAAGCAGGGAATATCTCCCCACATATGCCCTGAACCTCCCCAAATCTAAGACTTTCTTCAGGCAACTAGCTGTTGAACAACCATTGGCAGGAAGACACTGGAACCCACCAAAAAAAGGTACTCCACATCCAAGAACAAAGGAGAAGCCACAACAAAATGGTAGGAGGAGCACAATTATAATAAAATCAAATCCTATTACCCACTGGGTGGGTAACTCACAGAGAACAATACCAAAGCAGTTC